CAATTCCCCTCTCAGTGTCTCTGGTTCCCCATCTGTTAAAAAGAAAAAAAGTACTCGTACTCTTAAAGACCTTGGAGATGTACTGATGGAAATGGTTACAGGATACATTCAAATTCGCAGATAACACTAAGATGTGGGGAGAAGTGGGCACGCTAGAAGGGAGGAATAGGCTGCAATCAGACCTGGACAGGTTACAGGGGTGGGTGGACGAGAACAGGATGGGTTTCAACACTGACAAGTCCAAGGTACTGCATCTGGGGAGGAAGAACCAGCAGCATACCTACAGGCTGGGGGACTCCCTTCTCGTCAGAGCAGAGGCAGAAAAGGATCTTGGAGTCATTATTGATGCCAAAATGAACATGGGCCGACAGTGTGGGGACGTGGTCAGTAAGGCCAACCACACCTTGTCATGCATCCACAGGTGCATCGCAAGCAGGTCCAAGGAGGTGATCCTCCCCCTCTATGCGACACTGGTCAGGCCGCAGTTGGAGTACTGCATCCAGTTCTGGGCACCGCACTTCAGGAGGGATGTGGACAACATGGAGAGGGTCCAGAGGAGGGACCCCCTTATGATCGGGGGCAGCAGGGCAGGCCCTACGGGGAGAGGCTACAGGACCTGAACCTGTTCAGCCTCCACAAGAGAAGGCTGAGGGGGGATCTAGTGACCATTTACAAACTAGGCAGGGGGGACCAGCAGGCACTGGGGGAGTCCCTGTTCCCCCGAGCACTACCAGGAGTGACTAGAAATAACAGCCACAAGCTGGCAGAAGGTAGATTCAGACTAGACATCAGGAGGCGCTACTTCACAGTCAGGGTGGCTAGGAGCTGGAACCAACTTCCAAGAGAAGTGGTGCTGGCTCCTACCTGGGGAGTCTTTAAGAGGAGGCTGGATGAACACCTTGCTGGGGTCGTTTGACCCCCATACTCTTTCCTGCCATGGCAGGGGGTCGGACTTGAGGATCTGCTCAGGTCTCTTCCAACCCTACCAAATATGAAACTATGAGAGCTAAATATGGTGATTATTACACCAATGTATATTCCACGTCCTTATTAACATTGACAAATCACAACTAGTTTTTCCCAGGCCCTTGAAGGTAGGGGTAAGATAGCCACAGTTTCCTTGACATCAAAATTACCAACATCCTGTTCAAGTCTCAGATAAAGCTGGAATCTACAGCTTCTTTGTGAGAGACTGTCACACTCACTGTTACAGTCGCAATCTGCAAAGGCTTCTGAAGGACAGTGTGTTCCTCAAAGCTATTGCTATAGACATACTTGGGCCCACTTCTTTTACCCTCATCTCTGACTTGGAAAGGGCAAGTCCTCTGATTATGGCTGCTGTTAGAAAGTGGGCTTGCAGCTTGGGTACAGACAGCAGTGAACACACAAAGTCATGGGTATGGGTACCGGCTGTAGTGGGACTCTCAGAACTTATTTGGACACCTAGCCTATGCTGAAGCATGAGCTGTCACATCATCTCTACCAGATTACAGCCAGCACAGGTACACATGCTGCACCTCCGATTGCAGAGTAGACATAACTCAAGTATGAGCTCTTCAACCAAAGCTGGGCTCTTCCATGAGTTTTTGCATTAGTATTCCTGAACACAGATAAAGACATATCACCAAACTGGACTATAGACAGGTACAGTGTGGGCATTGGCCCACCAACAGTATTAGTGAAGGGGCACTTGGAAGGGCTTGATGTGTTCAAGTCAGCAGGCCCAGATGATCTTCCTCCAAAGGTGCTGAAGAATTGGCTGGTGTTATAGCAGAACCACTGACAAAACTTTTAGCACTTGTGGCACTCAGGGCAGGTCCCAGGGGACTGGAAAATGGCCAATGTGGTCCCTATTTTCAAAAAGGGGAAGAAGGAGGATCCAAGTAACTATAGACTGGTTAGTCTCACCTCTATCCTTGGGAAAACCTTTGAAAAAATTATTAAGGAATACACTTGTATGAGTCCAGCAGGAAAAGAAATGCTGAAGGGCAACCAGCATAGATTCAGAGCAGCTTCAGATCCAGCTGTTTCAGCTGCCAGGGATCTGATCCAGAGCTCTGGACCGGTTTCCCACTTCGATCTGACCGAAGCGGCTCCGAAGCTTCGGAGCCACCTCGAAGATCCAGCCATGGGGTATAATGGGGAGTCAATGAAATATCTATAACTTTGTTGTTTTTATTTAATTTGAATGAAACTTGCAAGGATGGTAGCCTCTGCTGAGAGCATAAATTCTGCCAAGATTCAAGAAGATCAGTGCAGGGGTTTGGGGGGAACTGCACCCCAAATTCTTGAAAGCCAAACTCATGTCATGTGTATGCGTTACACCACAGTGGGGTCAAAACTGCAGGGGTAGTAGCCCCTGGTGAGGCCACAAAGCCTGCCAAGTTTCAAGGAGATAGGTGCATGGATTTGGGGGGAAACTGCACCTCAAGCTGAGGACAAGCAAAACTTGTGACATGGGTGACCCTGCGTATGTTAAGGCGCAGCGGGGTGACAGCTGCAGGGATGGTGGCCCCTGCTGCAGCCACGACGACTGCCAGCTGTGGAGGAGATCGGTGCAGTGTGGTTCTGGGGCCCAGCACCCCTAGCTGCTGACAGACAAAACTTGTGTCATGGGTGCTTGTTCAACTGTGTCTGTCTTGGGGACTGTACTACTGCAGTCCTGGCTGCTAAGCTACTGTGTTACCAGTTACCAATCAATCATGATTCACTCAGGAACCAGCCCAGTACACAGGACCTAGCTACTAGTAGCTATTAGATAATGAGTTAATTAGCAATGATTAACACTTACAAAACCACAGACTGAGAAGAAATAATCAATACAATCAACTGCCCCAAGACGGACACAGTCAGTCCCACAAGCACCCATGGCACGAGTTTTGTCTGTCAGCAGCTAGGGGTGCAGGGCCCCAGACCCCCCTGCACCGATCTCCTCCACAGCTGGCAGGCGTCACAGCAGGGGCCACCATCCCTGCAGCTGTCTCTTCACTGCGCCTGAACACACACAGGGTCACCCATGGCACCAGTTTTGCTTGTCCTCAGCTTGAGGTGCAGTTCCCCCCAAGCCCCTGCACCGATCTTCTTGAAACTTGGCAGCCTTTGTGGCCTCAGCAGGGGCCACCACCCCTGCAGTTTTCACCCCCTGTGGTGTGTCACACACACATGTGACATGAGTTTTGCTTTCAAGAATTTGGGGTGCAGTTCCCCCGAACCTCTGCACCGATCTTTTTGAAACTTGGCAGGCTTCATTAGCTCAGCAGCAGCTACCGTCCTGCAAGTTTCATCCAAATCAGACAAAAAACAACAAACATAGATATTTCATTGATTCCCCATTATACCCTATGGCCGTATCTCCGAAGTGGCTCCAAAGCTTTTCCGAAGCACTTTGGAAAGCCTAACGAAGCCAGCGCTTCCATCCGGACACGTTGCTTCAGATGCCAAATCATCCAAAGCTTCTCTGGATCCAAAGCACGGTCTGAAGTCTCACACAGCCCTAGTGAACACACTGTCCAAATTCATGGATGACACCAAATTATGGGTCAAAGCAGACACACTTGAGGGCAGGGAGTGGATTCAGGTGGATTTAGACAAGCTGGAAAAGTGGGCAGACCAAAATAGGATGCAGTTTAACAAGGATAAGTGCAGAGTACTGCACCTAAGGAGAAGGAATCGCCAACACACATACAGATTGGGGGATGACTTTCTAAGCAGCACAGCAGCAGAAAGGGATCTCAGAGTCATAGTTGACTCAAAGATGAACATGAGTCGACAATGTGATAAAGTGATCACTTGTATGCTTAGTAGGCCTGTGCGAAGTGGCTAGTATTCATTGAGGATTCAGCCGATTTGGAAGACAGTGATTCAAATCACTGTCTCGAATCGATTCAGATGAATCTGATTCAGAGATTTGACTGCTGCTGAAACTCCAAATCTCTGAATCAGCCAGCACCCCCCCCCCCCCCCAACCCTCCGACAGGGCG